GTTACTTCTCCTTTTTCATTTCTAATTCTATTGATTTGAGCCTTCTCCCTTTTTTTCTTGATGAGTCTGGCAAATAGTTTATGAATTTTGTTTATCTTCTCAAAGAACCAGCTTTTAGTTTTCTCGATCTTTTCTATTGTTTTCTTCATTTCTTTTTCATTTATGTCTGATCTGATCTTTATGAATTTTTCCTTCTTCTAACTTTGGGGTTTTTTTGTTCTTTCTCTAATTGCTTTAGTTGTAAGGTTAGGTTGTTTAATTTGATTTGTTTCTTGTTTTTTGAGGTAAGATTGTATTGCTATAAACTTCCCTCTTAGAACTGTTTTTGCTGCATTCCATAGGTTTTGGGTCATCGTGTTTTCATTGTCTTTTGTTTCTAGGTAATTTTTGATGTCATCTTTGATTTCTTCAGTGATCTCTTGGTTATTTAGTACTGTATTGTTTAGCTTCCATGTGTTTGTATTTTTTACAGATTTTCTTCCTGTAATTGGTATCTAGTCTCATAGCGTTGTGGTCAGAAAAGATACCTGATACAATTTCAATTTTCTTAAATTTACCGAGGCTTGATTTGTGACCCAAGGTATTATCTATCCTGGAGAATGTTCCATGAGCACTTGAGAAGAAAGTTTATTCTGTTGTTTTTGGATGGAATGTCCTATAGATATCAATTAAGTTCATCTTTTTTAATGTTTCATTTAAAGCCTGTGTTTCCTTATTTATTTTTATTTTGGATGATCTGTCCATTGGTGAAAGTGGGGTGTTAAAGTTCCCTACTATTATTGTGTTACTGTCAATTTCCCCTTTTATGGCTGTTAGCATTTGCCTTATGCATTGAGGTGCTCCTATGTTGGGTGCATAAATATTTACAATTGTTATATCTTCTTCTTGGATTGATCCCTTGATCACTATGTAGTATCCTTCTTTGTGTCTTGTAGTAGTCTTTATTTTAAAGTATTTTGCCTGGTCTCACTCACTTCTCTTCGAGTGGGACCCTGTCCGGACAGTTTGTGTAAGCTTCTATACTTGTACTTGTATAAATCCTTTGCTAATCTTTCTACTTGGTGTTGGTGATTCTCGGGTGTCCTTGGTTGGGACACGGGTCGCATTTACCGGGGAACTTGACTCCAGGCGTGTGGCTCCCGGACCGCAACATTTGGGGGCTCGTCTGGGATCGGACAGTGGAGGTTAAAGACCTGAAACAGGGTCCCTCCCTGTCTTTGGAATACCCGAAGTGGAGGTTAAAGACCTGAAACAGGGTCCCTCCTCCGAAGCCACCGCCTGTACCTTCTTCGGGTAAGTTTGCGACCCCTGGCTTGCCGGCAAGAAACTAGGAGACTCCATTAAGGCTTGTCGGACGCGACGTTAAGCCTGGAGTCAGGAGGAGTCCCGGGACGCCGCGATTCCTCCTTGGGAATTCAAAGTCGGTTTCGATATTCTTTGGTCCCGACTTTGAACTGGGATTGTGTCAAAACTTGTTGTTCTCCCCTTCTGTCTTTTGTCACTCGTGTGTGTGCTCTTGCATTTGCTTGGACACTTTGGCTTTGTGCTTGTGCTAAAACCTTTAGCTCAACAGAAATTTAACAATGGGACAAGGTATGTCCCGGATGCAGACCCCCCTGAGCCTAGTTCTGGACCACTTCAGAGACTTCCGCCAGATCGCCAGGGAATTCGGGGCCTCTGTATCCCCGGAAACCCTCCGCACCTTTTGTGAATTGGAATGGCCGACATTTGAGGTGGGATGGCCATCCGAAGGTACGTTCTTTATTCCGGTTATAGATGCGGTGGAAGATATTGTCTTTAAGGCACATGATGATCAGATTCTTTATATTGAGTGTTGGCGGGGTCTCGTGGAGACACCACCTGACTGGCTGAGGCCCTGGTTGCCCCCGCCGGGAGCTACCAACAGAAAGGAAATAAGATCTAAAGATAACATATGTGCCGCCAAGATGGGGGACGGGAAAAAACCTAATGTTAAAAGCTCTAAGTCCCCGCCCCCTCCTCTTGTAGGCGAGGGAGAGGAAGGAGAAACCCCTCCTCCCGAGGCGTCTGCACCTCCCCCTCCCTATGTCCCTCCCGAGGCGGATACCGGCCGCGATGACGACATCCTCCCAGGTCGGCCCAGGAGACCGCATGCCGGGTCTAGAGATCACTTGACTGAACCGCGACCCACTGCTCTGCCTCTGCGGCAACAAGCACCTAGTCCAGGGGAGGCACAGCCTTTTCTTACTTATGCCCCATTCTCCACGACTGATTTATATTAATATTACTGTTAGAAACTATATTTGTAACTCATCAGCCGACCTGGGATGATTGTCAGCAATTGTTACAGGTTTTGTTTACTACGGAAGAAAGAAAAAAAATCATGTGGGGGGCCCGTAAACAGGTACTTGGTCCAGATGGACGGCCCACTGATAACCCCAACCTAATTGAAACCGTGCTCCCTAGTACCCGACCGGAATGGAATCCTAACACGGAGGAGGGATGAGGGACTTTGGCCCGTTTTCGCCAGGCTCTGTTAACAGGACTTTGGGCGGCAGCACAAAGGCCAATTAATATGTCCAAGGTTACAGAGGTGACCCAGGGAGCCACAGAGTCTCCAGCCGCCTTCCTGGAAAGGCTGATGGAGACTTATAGGCTATGGACCCCCATAGACCCTGAGGAACCAGAAAACAGGCAGGCGGGCAATTAATTTGGCCTTTGTGACACAGTCGGCCCCACATATCCAAAAGAAATTACAAAAATTAGATGGTTTTGAAGGAAAGAACTTATAAACTGAGAAGAGACAGTTAAGGCAGGTATTAAAAGAAAAAGTATTCTCAGTCACTAGGCAATGTGTGACTTGTGCACAAGTAAACCAAGGGGCCAACTCACAACACCAGGAACTGCATCAGTATCGAGGCAACGAGGCAGGCGGCTTTTGGGAAATGGACTTTAGCCTGAAAGGAATTTTAAAAGAGGTCTTCTCCCCTAAACTAAGTATTAAACAAAGGGGAAACCTTTGAGATACAAATGTCTTATCTGGTCTTCTAAGAAACCCTTATCTCTGCCATCTTTTTAAATGCAAATGTAAAAAAAAGAAGGTAAAGTAACTTAACACTTGACTTGTCAAGGATAAATAGAAATCCCAAGTGTCTTTTCTATAAGCACTAGTAAAAAGGATTTAGCCATCTAGATTGGTGACCTTGATTTGTTCCATCTGCCAGAAGCCCAATTTGAATCCAGCCCCTTGTAACTGATAGATTTTATGTTGTACCTGACTCAGGACTGAAATTTTGGAATGGGAACAATGAGACCTCTGTGTTTGTATTTTCATACGTATCTATATGTGTGTTGTAGATGTATGGTATTGCCAAAAATTAATTCATAGAAGAGCTCTACTTAATTGGCTTCTAAAAAAAAATCAAACACTTACATAAATACTCAGAAGTAAAAAAATAATCTGGCCAGAATGAATTTCGGGTTCATGTCATCTGAAAATTATTCAGTACTCAACTGATATCTGGAATTGAAGGTGGCTTAAACTTGTTGGTTTAATATAGACATGTCTTTAGAGTCATCAATGTTGAGTATAATACTTCTGTTGTACCTAGGTTTCCTAACGGTCAAATAAAACCTTATTCCATCTGTTATAAATCTGTCAACAAGAAAAGTAACTCAATGTAAAAAAAAAAAACTTTTAAGGAAGGTAAGATGTATGTTTTCAGTAAAAGAAGGTGGGACGAATGAGAATAAAAAAATACTGAAAACAGTAATACATGATCAGGATTTTCTAAGATTGGACTGAATTTAGTTGGGTAAATGGATTTTATTAGGAATGGGCTAGAACAAGACTGGATTTGGTTTCTTCCCCCAAAGTATTCTTAAAATGCTGCTTTTGACAACAGACTGTGTGAGTTTCTTTGCATTTAAGTGATCTGTATTTGCTTTTGAGATCTTTTGTAACTTTGGTTAAGGAATAAGTACTGTCTCACAGTGACCTATGATCTTATTTGACCAACTGTTTTAAAACTTTTTGACAAACTTCCCAAATATCAAATCTTAATTGTTTCTTTTGATTTCCAGTTAACTTTGTGATACTTCAGAGGTCCCCTGAGGTATCTTAAAGAAAAATATTTAACTAAGATGACTTGGTATGTTAAACGTAATCATTCATAATTCTGGTTATTGTAACCAAGTTTCTTTATTGATTCCAAGGATTTGGACTGGATACAAAAGAAAAAGGGGGGGTATTAGATAACGAGAAGGAAGGAAAGATATAGATTACAGGGGGCCACTGGGACTCAACGCTGTTTTTGGACCACGGACAGGAAGGTCGACTTGGGCAAGCAGGCAGTCACCCACTCCTTCCTGGTCATGCCTGACTGCCCCTGTGGGGGCAGGACGGGGATCACCGAGTTTTTATTCCTGAGAACCTAGGCCTGATGTTGATTCGACGCTTGCATGAGGGAACGCATCTGGGATCTACAGGGTTACATGAACTGTTAAAAACTCGTTTTCAAATTCCATAACCAGTTTCCCGAAGTAACCTTATTACAATATGTGGATGATTTACTTGTGGCTGGAAAAACTGTGCGGGATTGTCTAATAGGAAGAAAAGGCCTAGTAAGGTTACTACAGGACTTGGGCTATAAACTCTCAATTGAAGGGGCTCGGATTTGTCAAGAACAAGTGGACTATTTGGGGTATATCCTAGAAGGAGGACAGAGCACTCAGGCCATCCTGGCCTTGCCAGCCCCTGCCACAAGGGGGGGAATTGAGAGAATTCTTGGGAATGGCGGGCTATTGCCGGCTCTGGATACCCAGATTTGCAGAGCTGGCCAAGCCTCTATACGATGCCCTGGGGGGCGTTGGCCGGAGTGGCCCCGAGGCCACCAAGATTGGCTGGGCTGAGACACAAGGGAGGGCCTTCCAGGACATTGGAAGGGCTCTTGCCTCGCCTTCTGCTCTGGCACTCCCCAACCCTGATGTGGGCAAGCCGGGGTGGCAAGGGGAGTACTAACTCAGAGGCTTGGGCCCTGGCGAAGGCCGATAGCCTGTCTCTCTAGACGGCTGGACCCAGTGGCCTCCGGGTGGCCCTCATGCGTCAGACAAGTTGCAGCCGCTGCCCTGTTGAACCTCGGCACTGGAAACCTTTTGTACAAAAACTGAAAATAAAATTTCCGGAACCCACATTGCCACCTGGAGACTTAGTCTGGGTAAAGAAACATAACCCCCAGACATTGGAGACTAGGTGGACTGGACCTCATCTGATTGTGTTGAGTACCCTGACTGCTGTTAAAGTTGACAGTGTCCGGACTTGGATTCATCATAGCAGAATAAAGAGTGACTACACCACAGAGGACGTGGACACTAACAGACGGATTGACTGGGCAAAGTTTAGCCCAAAACGAAACATACCTCCTAAATACGGAAGACCAGGAATCAAGGATTTGATTAGTTCCTAAAAAAAGGGGGGAATGTGACGAAAGAAACGGAAGAACAGCTTCAGGGCTAACAGCACATTTTGGCTTCTGTAGGAGTCTTGCTTGCTTGCTTGGGGCGGGAAGAACCGGGTTCCTGATTGGCTGATTCGAAATTAAACAGCTCCCTCCCGCCTTGGGGACGTCCCGCCCTGTGAAGGGTATAAAAGCCTCGCCCGGCTGTTAGTCTCACTCACTTCTCTCCGAGTGGGACCCTGTCCGGACAGTTTGTGTAAGCTTCTATACTTGTACTTGTATAAATCCTTTGCTAATCTTTAAAAAAAATAAAAAATTAAAAAATAAAGTATTTTGCCTGAAATGAGAATTGCTACTCCATCTTTCTTTTGATTTCCATTTGCATGGAATATCTTTTTCCATCCCCTCACTTTCAGTCTGTACGTGTCCCTAGGTCTGAAGTGGGTCTCTTGTAGACTGCATATATACAGGCCTTGTTTTTGCATCCATTCAGCCAGTCTATGTCTTTTGGTTGGAGTATTTAGTCCACTTACATTTAAGGTAATTATCGACATGTATGTTCCTATTCCCATTTTCTTAATTGTTTTGGGTTTGTTTTTGTAAGTCTTTTCCTTCTCTTGTGTTTCCTGCCTAGAGAAGTTCCTTTAGAATTTGTTGTAAAGTGGGTTTTGTGGTGCTGAATTCTGTTAACTTTTGCTTTTCTGTAAAGGTTTTAATTTCTCCATCGAATGTGAATGAGATCCTTGCTGGCTAGAGTAATCTTGGTTGTAGGTTTTTCCCTTTCATCACTTTAAATATGTTTTGCCACTCCCTTCTGGCTTGCAGAGTTTCTGCTAAAAGATCAACTGTTAACCTTGGAAATTCCCTTGTATGTTATTTGTTGTTTTTCCCTTGCTGCTTTTAATATTTTTTCTTTGTATTTGATTTTTGATACTTTGATTCATATGTGTCTTGGCATGTTTTTCCTTGGATTTATCCTATATGGGACTCTCTGTGCTTCCTGAGCTTGATTGATTATTTCCTTTCCCATATTAAGGAAGTTTTCAACTATAATCTCTTCAAATATTTTCTCAGTTCCTTTCTTTTCCTCTTCTTTGTCTGGGACCCCGCTAATTCGAATGTTGGGGTGTTTAATGTTGTCCCAGAGGTCTCTGAGACTGTCCTCAAGTCTTTTCATTCTTTTTTCTTTATTCTGCTCTGTGGTAGTTATTTCCAATATTTTATCTTCCAGGTCACTTATGTGTTCTTCTATCTCAGTTATTCTGCTATTGATTCCTTCTAGAGAATTTTTAATTTCATGTATTGTGTTGTTTATCATTGTTTGCTCTTTAGTTCTTCTAGGTCCTTGTTAAATGTTTCTTATATTTTCTCCATTCTATTTCCAAGATTTTGGATCATCTTTACTATCATTACTCTGAATTCTTTTTCAGGTAGACTGCCTATTTCCTCTTCATTTGTTTGGCCTGGTGGGTTTTACCTTGCTCCTTCATCTGTTGTATGTTTCCCTGTCTTCTCATTTTCCTTAAGTTCCTGTGTTTGGGGTCTCCATTTTGCAGGCTGCATGTTCATAGTTCCCATTGTTTTTGGTGTCTGCCCCCAGTGGCTAAGGTTGCTTCAGTGGCTTGTGTAGGCTTTCCGTTGGAGGGGACTGGTGCCTGTGTTCTGGAGGATGAGGCTGGGCCTTGTCTTTCTGGTGGGCAGGACTGCATCCAGTAGTGTGTTTTGTGCGTCTTTGAACTTATTATGATTTTCAGCAGCCTCTCTGCTAATGGGTGGGGTTGTGTTCCTGTCTTACTAGTTGTTTGGCATAGGGTGTCCAGCACTGGAGCTTGCTGGTCGTTTAGTAGAGCTGGGTTTTAGTGTTGAGACAGAGATCTCTGGGAGAGCTTTCGCCATTTGATACTACATGCAGCTGGGAAGTCTCTGGTGGACCAATGTCCTGAACTTGGCTCTCCCACCTTAGAGGCACAGGCCTGACACCCAGCCAGAGCACCAAGACCCTGTCAGCCACACAGCTAGTTGGACCCCAAAGTCTCTGGTCAGGACTCGGTGGCATGGCAGTAACTTCCACTCACTCCCCCACCCCATTTCCCTGCGGCAGCAGCAGGGGTGGCTCCTTGGTTCCTTTCAATTATGAGCAGTTTTATAATGGAGAGTCTGTTGCTGGGTTTAGCTTTGAGTTCTTTTCATGATCTGTGACATTCATAAAAGAATATCCATTTTAAAAGATTTTCAAAATGACCTTTATTACATGTCCCTATGTGCAACACTTTGTTGGGTACTTTTGCTAAGGGGTGTTTTTTTAAATACCATTCTTTCACAGTGTAAACAGGAAATATTTGGAGTGGGTAGATTAGTCAGGGGATGGAACTGGGGAAAGTATTTGGGGATGGAGGCTTATCATGGAAGTATAAAGTGAGAGAAATGACATTTCTTGGCTCAGTTCCCAGTATTGTTTGCCAGACACATTTTGCCTGTGAAACAAGCAGCGTTCACACCCGATAGTACCACTTTCTAATCAACTGGTAGTGAATTTAAGTTTATAAGTGACAGTGTTTGGGAAATTAAAATTCCAAAGGATTAAGTAAAGTTAACCTTTGATACACTTGCCAAAGGCAAACATAAAGAACAGAAGCAACACTGAGGAGCCTCACTAGCTTCGCTCCTGTCATTGTATAAAATGAATAAGCTTTGCCAAAGGCAAAGTTGTCCTTACTCTGTTTTGAAGACTAGCACAGCTCACTCTAAGACAGTGAATGTGTCCCAAAATAACTGGCAGTGAGTTGTGAAATGGTCTTCCTCAATGGGGTAAGGGTCATTTGGGCAGTGTTGCCAAATAATAAGGCTAGTTTTCCATGTCCCTAAACCTCAATCTTTTTAAGTTAGGCTACAGAAGAAAAAAAAAATGTGGGAAATAAATTAAATCCAGCTGTGATCATTCTGAATACCTCTACATAACCCTAGTGGTGTTTAAGAGGCTCCGGGGTTTCAAGGAACATGTTATGAAAATCACTGCAAACTCTTTCTTGTTTACGTTGAAATTCCCAGGAAGAATTTGAAACTTCAGTAACTCTGAGGAAAACAGGAAAAGGGGCCTTTGGTCAACACTTAACCTCAGTTGTAGCTTTCAGTGGTAGAGTATCAGAAGAAATGACATGGGTCATCTGTTGGAAGAATTTGGGGAAGGATGTTTTTATATTAAAATTTAACATATTCTCTAAAATTGCTAGCTAAGAGGACCTCTGTTGTAGTAACTAGTAAAAAGCTGTGAGAGTGGGGGGCATAGACACTGGAAAGTAAGAGAGAATCGGCAAGTTTAATAAGTTAAAAATTATGTTAGTGAGGACAAGAAGGTACACTTTTAGACATGGGAAAATACTGTCTGTGTCTAAAGAAAATCTACATGAGGTAGCTTTTAAAAATCAAAAGACTAGGGAGCTTGTTCACATTAAGCCCTGATTCTGATTCTGAGCTCCAGCCCTCTTTCTGTTCCTTGTTTCATTCCCAAGCCAAGGCATAAATGAAGGGTTAAAGTGATTCTTCTAAATTCTTCACAGGAGGGAGTTGAAACACCTAAGACTTTGATTTAAGAAACTTTCTAATTTTTAAACTTATAACCAGTTAGGTAACTGTCCAATTAATTGTTTTTCATATATATAAATATTTATCATTTTTAATAAGTTAGAAGTCACCATGAATCAGACTGTCTTTCTGAAATGTTGTCGGAAATGTTTAACATGTTTCCTTTTCGCTTTTTCTCAAACTGACATGGGAGAAGGCTATCAGAGGGAGGTTCCAAAGTCTTCCCCTCACTCTCAGGGCTGCTACTGAATGAGGAGGAGCTGCCTTGACTAAGGACCGTATTCCTTACATGGACTTGAGCAGCGTGCTCTTCAAAGATCTGTGCTTGCTTGTGTCGTGCCAGCGCAGCACTGGCTGTTCTCAAGGGAAAAAGTTGTGAAACTTCACAAACCTGAGTTAGAATTAGAGATCATAGCAGCCAAGTCATAGTTCATGGTCGAGTGCCGACAGCTGACACTCAAGGAAGTCAGGATGGAGGGCATCTTATTGATATGGATTGCCAGTGTAAGAAAACAGAAGTTCTCCCTCCCAACTCACCACACCTATTTAAAAAGAAATTGATTGGCACTGAAGATTTGAAATGCAGAAGAGAAAGTTGCTGGGATAAGGTTTAAAAAAAACATCCACACTTTGGAACAGAAAAGAAATAAAACAGTTAAATCAGTGGTGAATAAAAATAAAGTTGGGGGGCTTCCCTGGTGGTGCAGTGGTTAAGAATCCGCCTGCCAATGCAGGGGACCCAGGTTCGATCCCTGGTCCGGGAAGATACCACATGCAGCGGAGCAACTAAGCCCATGCGCCACAACTACTGAGCCTGTGCTCTAGAGCCTGCGAGCCACAGCTACTGAGCCCAAGTGCTGCAACTACTGAAGCCTACGTGCTTAGAGCCCGTGCTCTACAACAAGAGAAGCCACCGCAATGAGAAGCCCGCATACCGCAACGAAGAGTAACCCCCACTCACCGCAACTAGAGAAAGCCTGCACACAGCAATGAAGACCCAATGCAGCCAAAAATAAATAAATAAAAATTTATAAATAAATAAATAAAATTGGGGATGAAGAAAACCATATGATGTGAAAATGGAGGAAAAAATTAGAAAAATACAATATAAGAGACAAGGTAATGCTAAAAACTTAAAAACTGCAATAATTCAGTTTCTTACTATGTTTGCCTTTTAAGTATTAACTATATTTGAAATATTTCTAATGATGGTCAATTTAATATTTTTACTGGCAACTTAAGTTCTTGGCTAAACTTCCTAGAGCTGTTTATAGACAATTTTCCCTCGCCTGCCTGTAAAAATACATCACTGTAGTATTTTTAACAGCAAAGCCTGTATGAGACAATTTACTTTCATGACCTGTCAGATTCTTGTGGCTGCTTCTAAGTAGCCTCATTTGGAAACCCTTGTTTGTGGATTTTTTTGGGTCCCAAATTGGTGTCATTTTTTCCAAAAAAAAAAAAAATGTAGTAATGTATTCATTAAGCATTCACTACATACAGCTACAACTTCATTTTATATAATTTCACATCACTGCAGGTATTTTGGTTACTTCCAGAAATAATTTTTAGATCTAGGTGACCCTAAAGAAGGATCTGCTTTCTCTTTAATACAAACCAAAGCTGCTGCTATGTTATTTTTCTTTAAGCTTCCACACGGTTTATAAGTAACAAGAAGTAGGGAGCAAAAAAAGAAATACATTTTTTATAAAATGAGCTATAGGGAGGGGGTGTTTCTGAGAGGTTGTAAAATACGATTCTTTACCTCCAGCCAGGAATATACTCACATCATATAGATCAGAAATGGCAACTAAGTTTCCTTGCATGTGCCAATCAGTTGTCATTGATCACTTGCTAGTTGCTGCTTGGAGAATCATATGGAGAAGGGTTTAGAAGTTTAGTTCAGGCTCAGCAAGAGAAAGTGATGTGATTTTGAAATCTTCAAGAATTTTTTCAAAAATGTTAATGAGTTTAGAGGAATTATGGTTATTTTTGGCAAGAAGAAATGTTCTTGTCAGTAAGCAGCACAGAGATGCTTACCTCCACCCACTACTACTACTAGAATACTACTAGTATTCTTCTGGATGAATAAACTAATTTAAAAAAATTAAAGATCTCCAAGGCATTTGGAAGAGCTGTTATATTAGTTACTCATAGCTTAGTGGTAATTAATTAAAAAATCTAACCCCTAGGTGAGGTCAGTTGAGCTGTGGGAATGAAATGGAACTTGATTATGGGAGAAGAGAAGGAGTGATAATTTGTGGGCAGGAGACATCAGAAGTCTTCCTAAAATGTAAAATATTTTTGAGAGATTTTGGTTCTCTGGGTTGCCAATGTCTTACCTAGGTCACTGATGAAAATGTCAAATAGAGCCTGGCCTTGGTTTGACACCTGCTAAACATTATTTATGTCTTAAGACCACATCAAACCATTTGTAACCATTCTATTTATAAGTTTCCTGAGCACCCTTCTGAGTTTCCAGATATAAATTATAGCAGTGTTCTTGGCACTTAGCTGATAGATTTGCCTGAAAATACAGTTCTCTGATTTAGCATAAGAATCTTCTTTTCATGGTTTTACTTTCCTCTGTAGTTCTGGGATGGTGGAAATTGTATGTGACAAAGTTTGAAAAGACTTGTATTTTAGCTATAGAGTTCTAGCTCTAGTTAATTGTGTAATTTTGTACAAACTGGTTAATCTCTTTGGACCTCAGAAATGAACGTTAGCCCAGATCAGCATTTCCCAACTGATGGGCCTCAAGTTCCAGAATGTCCTATCTATTGACAAGGGCCTGCAAATAATTATGCAGCCCAGAATTGTCTGACTGAGTACCGCTACCACATGTGAAAGGTTGTGGAGTTACTGTCTCCAAAGAAGACTTTTGAAAAGGGTGGAAAACACCGCCATAGGTTATGAACAAGCTTCTCTCTCTCTCTCTTAGCTTTTAACTCATGGACCCCTCCTCTATATTTGACAAGGATAAGAATAATCACTTCTATTTTATAGTAAAATAACCTTGAGGCATAGAAAAGTATAATCAATTAAGTTCTCCCATATTATATGATGGTTTTTTCATTGATGTAGGAATTGAATGCTGTATTTTGAGTATGTTTGTTTTCCTCAGCTAAGTACCACATATGATCTTTATTATATTTGGTTCCTTTCTCTGATAATAATTAAACAAGCATGGATTTGTGATTACGTACTTGATTTAATTAAAATCTCCTCTGGGTGATAGATTCCAATGAGAAGCAGAAGCAGAGTATGCAATGAGTTATTTTCATAAAAGATGCAATTTGACTTTTGCCAGAATTGACTGGTGGAGTCTCACTGTCAGCTAACATGAGCTATGGAAACTTGGCTCTCTGCAGAGCTAGCCACATGGTGCCAGATACTCTTTTCACAGCGCCAGGAGATATCTATGATGTCAAAACTCACAGGATAGTTGAGCTCAGAATGTAGGCTATGTACTCAGCAGGACACCAAAGAAAGTTGCTTGCGTCATACAGACAAACTGTATCTGGAATTGACGTCTTTGAGAGATCAAACTTCCACTGATATTTTTAAAACTTTAAGCTTAACAAGTCCTCACAGGGAGAACACATGTCGGGAGCTACAGACACACTTATGTCGGGTGTCTTAATTGATGACTGCCAGGAATTGTGGCATTTCTTAATTGTATGTAGAAAGATACACATTTTCCATTTCCAAGAATTGGTGAGGTTAAAAAAAAAATCTAACCAAAAAATATGATGTTTCCATCTTAAAAGTGGAGGGTTAGTGGGATAACTCATACATTCAATGATTCTCTTCTTTCAGACCCCAGACCTAATGCTACAGATAAGGAGTACACTGTGTGTTTACTTCAAGGGATTCATGAACTTGCTTAGGCAAAGAGCCTTAACTGTTGTTGATTAAATAATGTATTTTGTGTATTTGTACTGCTATGAACACTACTGTGGCTAATACAATATTAATTCATTAAAAAGTATTATTGAATTGTATCTTTTTACAGTATTGTTTTTATGTTTATATGCGTATGTGCATATATATATTTATTTAATCTACTGATCTTAAGAGTTCAAGAGTTATCACATGGGGGTCTATGATATTTTGCTTGTAAAGGGCCCTCACTTTGAAAAGGTTGGGATCCACTGTCTTAATGGATTTCAGGTAGAGTGACAGGCTGATGGAGAGGTATTTTTGGCAAAGGGGCTCTCTGGCTGTAGCTGCCTGTATGCTAGGATAAAGGGCAAAACATGTCTTGAGAAGAAACAACTTTAACTAGTATTCTACAGGCCACAGACTAAAGTTTACTTGTAAGAATAACGCTTAATGTGAGAAGTGATTTCTCTCCCAAATCCAAGGTGTCACCTTATTTCTAAGTTATGGGACCAAAATAACAATAAAAACAACAGATTCTAAATGTTTTATTCGATCTCATGATCCCAGGTATTATACCTCTAAATCACTGGTATTTTAAAGTTAGTTCAACTACATAACAGATATTTGCTCTAAGAGGAATAAAATGATAAAGTATTAGTTAGAAGAAATATTAAACTGCTATAGGTATAGGGGTTATGCTTGAGTGACGCTAGTTATGGCAAGTGAGATCGCTGCCGCCCTCTAGTGGTTAGTGGTTCTCTCTCTCCCTCTCTTTCCCGATGTCTCTCTCTCACCTCAAGTGCCCTAGACATTTCCCTGAGAAGTTTCCTGTTTCCTCTTATTCAATCAAAGCACCATAAAAAAAAATAAAAAAAAAAAAAAGGAAAGAAACAAGAAAGTTTGCAGTCTATTGCCACTCTCATCTTCAAATCCCAAGAGATTTTATCCCCCTGGCTTAAAGGCACACTCATATATTCATATGTGTGTGTGTGTGTGTGTGTGTGTGTGTGTGTGTGTGTGTGTGTGTATGTGGGTTTTGCTTGTTGCTATCATGGATTTTTACATTTAACCAAAAATATTTGTTGAATATCTACTATGAAACTACCTGTATGCAACTATTCACAGAAAAAATATGAGATAATTCTTACCCTGAAGAAACTTTTAATATAGGAGAGGATATGAACAAACATGAAATTTTTTTTTACCATGAAGGCCAAAGAGTTTTATTTACTAGAAAAACAATTCTTTGGTTTTATATGCTTGATTCACTGGTCATTGAGATAAGATGATTTTCAGGGTTTAGCAAAATTTAAAAAAGAAAATTATAGTGCTAGAGGATGCACATGTTACAAAAATTGGCATAGGTGTGTGTGATGGGGGAGGATGAGGACACAGTCCTAGCTGTGTCCCTTATTTACACCTCTTCTTAAACTGTCATATTTACTCGTTGCCTTGCTTGTAAGAAGACGAAAGA